CCTTTTTTGAAGAGCGAATTAAGAGTTACAAAACAGGTCATGATAAAAATTTTGCCATCTCCCTCATTTCGAGATATTCATTGAAAACTGGCCGATAATGAAAACTAGTTAAATCTTTTTACAAAATTGTTTTTTTGTATTAATTGAGGATTTTTGACACATGATATTTCATTCTTTTCTTTAGCAATTGCTCATGGTAATCAGTTGAATATGAAATTATTGAATAATGGAATTTTTCTGGTTTACTCCATCAAAATTGTGTACAAAACGTGACTTCTGAAGAAAATGATGAATGGGAAAAGAATGGAAGTTGTATATAATAATTACGATAAATAATATGCGCTCTTTAGGGATTAGACTAATTAACGATTCTAATATCACCAGTTTTTCATTCGATATTTATCTATTTTCTTTGTCCATGTGATGATAACCCAATGATTCGACTTTTCTATGATATTCTCTTGTACATATATTTATTTAGCTTCGTTTTAGAGATAGGGACTATTAACGAGATAGTATGTGCATATTGAAATTTCGGATGTGTAAATATTGATCTTCTCTTCGATATTAATGTTAAGTCTGCAATATTGGTATGGCTAAATTTGATATTTACCGATTAAGTCTTGTACATATGAGCATTGGTACTGGGTTCGTTTCTAAAGTTCACCTCGAATGGAGATTTAACCAAAAAATAATGATGAATACATTTTTTCTCGACATGATTTATGGATAAATATCGTAATATTAGTTGTCTGTAGTTGAAAAATTGTTTAGTATTGTCGGTATTCATTATAGATATGTACCGTGCAATTATTTTAATGATGAAGAATAAAATATTATGATGTAATGAATAATAAGTACCCTTCTGTTGGTTCTGAGTATGAACATCACCTGAAAGCAAAAACAGATTTTGAGAACGCTTTTTCGAAATTTTCATTGCATCCTGTCAAATGTCCCAAGATTACTGAGACAGTTGCACGCTTTTTAAGGAAAATTTATCATCGTTTAGGTTTGTATAAAGGCAAGATTTCCTGATCTCTTCAGATCAACGCCGGTGCTGGAACTGGAACGATAATACACTGCGAAAAACTGAGTTTTTTGAGAAGTCCGTTTTTACTATGTCAAGAAATTTGTGGTTTGAAAATTTTCAAGAGCTGTTGAATTTCTAGTTGAAATAATACGAGGCAAAAATGAATCTTATATTTTTCTCTCTATGTTTACACACGGGTATGAAGAACATTTTTACGGACGGAAATTCTGAGTAGTGCGGGCTATAATTATTATGCTTTTGGTTTTTGAGTCTAAACAGAGTTGAATGAATAGGACCTCTTATGTCCACGTCACCAGAGGCCCAGGGTATTATATCCCTTTGTCATTTTGTTCAGTTCCTCAGAGGAATTGGTAAAGAGCGGATGTGTCTTCCGAACGTATTATGTAACGTCTAATTAATAAAGTTATTTTACTTATTTACCGGTTTGGTTGCTTAAATTATTCCATTTCCAATAAGAGCAAAATATCTTGCACTAAGAAAAAAAAGCATTCGCCAAGTAATTTTGTACTTGTTCTAAAAACGAGGACAATTTCTTAATGACGAGAAATCAATTTCTCATACTAGATAAAATTGAATTAATTCATTTAATAGTTTTTTTCGCCTCAATTCTAAACTCTTTTAATGCAAAAACCACTTGAATTGATTTGAGAACTCGTTTTCTTGATATTAACCAATTACTCTCATCTTTCGGACAAATATAAAATTTCTTGGCGTAAGATTCTTTTTTCTTAATGTGAGATATTGCGCGCTTGGTAATTTTCAAGCCATGAGTTTCTTGACACAAGTAAAGGAGTACTTCTAAAAAAACTCTTGTTTTCTCAGTGTAGGATGAGGCCTTTTTGCGTAGTTCGTCAATTAGTGGGCGATCATGCATATATTTTTTTAATTGTATATTGGGGTAGGTTGGGTGGGAAACCGTGTAACACTTCTTATTAAATAAAGAACACTTGGTCCCAAGGAAAGATAGGGTAAGTAAAAACTAAATAATAAATAATTCCTACTTTTGTCATCTATTGACATTCGTTTTTTAATATTAATGTATGTGTTACAAATCAGTGCGCTCTTCGCGTAATCGTACAATCCAATATTAACCTTGGGGAGAGAACCTGCTCATTATATACAATAATCTCGGTCTTAACGTGATAGTTTGCGAAAAAACGCGAATAATTCGTTATTCATTTTGTTTTATGTTTATGTGAATAGTTCATTTCTTTTATCATTTAATAATTAAAGTTATTTATTATACATTGAAACGAGTATTCACCGTGATCCTTTGCATTCCTTGTGTCTCTCAGCTTGAAGTTATTCATTTTCTGGCGATTCAAAAAAGTTGGAAATTTCAATTTCAATTTTCTCATCTTCAGGAATGACAAATTATGACGGTGAAGTCTCATGACACAGCCTCGGCAAAGACGAACAAAATACGTTCGCACGAATGCGTCCAGCTCAGGACTTTCGTTAAATTTCTCAATGATTTTTGTCTCTTCGTTTCAAGATTAAGCTTTATCACATGTGTTTTAATGAATAATTTCATCCTTCCTTACAAGTGATTGAGTACAGCTTTATTATTCAGAGTGACTAATGCGGCTTCTCCTTCTCAAAGGGAATAAAAAAAATGAATTTCATTTTTTCATAATTATTCACCTGAATTTTATGGATGAGGACGAGATTCGATACGTAACAAGATATCTAAACCTAACATTATATTGTTCACTAGTAACGATAAGAAGAGGGAGAATTAATATTCAATCATTTAAAAAGATTTTTTTTTTCAATCATTGAAGTGAACTGAGGTAATGGTGATAAACCAGAAAGTTCTAATATTTTCATCAGCGCATTATCGTGAGAACAAATTTATAAAAAACTCCGACGTAGTTTTTTTTTTTATTCCTCGAACCAGACTACATGAGCATCTACGGAATAATAGTGCGACGTTAATTAAAATTATTTAATATAGATTTTCTCTAAAGTTTATCATTTGAAATTCTACCAATTACAGTAGTGTCATCATGATTGTGATAGATCATTATTTCTTTCTCATTCATTCATTTGAAAGCCTTCCTGTCATAATCGCACATGATTATTTAATGGTATTCCATTTCATTCATAACACAAAAGAAAGATAAACCTGACGTATTATGCAGACTAATTATTATCGAATGTTCGTGCGGATAAAATCATCATCTAATGGAAATACTGAGCAAATTATTCAAATTTAAACAACGGATAGTAAAGATACTGACAATGTTCTCACTCTCTCCTCTCTATTCTTATATTCTCATCTCTGATATTATTTCCGTATCGTAATCAACGTTTATAAAATAATTCTACGAGTTTTTCATTATTCTGTGGTTTAAAAAAAGCATGAAGAAGAACAATACTTTGGGAGACGAAACAGTGAGATTTCTCGCCTGCACGATGGACACATGATGTCATGCCAGTAATAGTAATAGTGATATAGGATATAATCTGCTTGATTTTCATTCATGGAGCCGTGATCGGTATAAAATTTCATAACACGTTAACTTAATTTTCCGTTTTCCATGACGTTAATGCATTGAATTATCGTTGAATGTAACTATTAAATTTTTTATCAAACTCGCAACATATCCTTTTCATCGTCTCATCTCCCAGTCAACCCTCATTTCCTCCGTTTCGCGATATGTCGTTCTGTCATATTCTTGTTCTGTTTCAATCATTTCTCACCAAAGTGAGCGTTATTCTGGGTTTCTCAAACCCTCTGTAAGATATCATCACCTTTGTTGAGCTTTGCGTGCACAGTAATGAAATCATGAAGAGCGGAGGGGAGGAGGTCGAACTGCGTACGAAGGATATTGAGCCTAAATTGAAAATTTCAAATAAATCCTCTACAGGTCGCTGCAGTTGCGAGCGATAAGACACAGATGTGGTGGAGACGGAACTTCAGGGGAACGATTTTGTTCGTTCTATGTCGACATAAAATCATAAATTTCAATCAATCTTAGTTGAGTATTCCAAATTCAGGACTGTCATTGGTTGAAATTTACGATTTTATGTCGACATAAAACGAGCAAAATCACTCCCCAGAATGGTATTAGTGATTTGCTTGGATCCAGTGGAAATAAGAGTAGATTTTATTATTTTTAATTGAACATTTGAAGGAAGGTTCGCGCTTCCGTGAACGAAGAACACCTCTGCGTCACTATTATCAAATTTTTTTCATTTCATTGAAGAATAATGATAAAAAGCGGAATAAAACAAGAGCATAAATTGGCCTTCGGCAGAATCAAGAAATACACTAATACATGGGAAATCTTATGTCCTTGAGTGGGTCATAGTCAACCCGAGAGCCACCTGCTGGAGCCTTCATCACCTACCGTGCCGATTCATTTGCCCTCCCCAGTTTCAATGGAGGCCCCCACAGCAGTTCGACCCCTTTCCCTCTATTCTTCATGGCCTTGAGGTATGAATAAATATGGTATTCGCCATCGCAACGTAGATGTGGGAGCCACCAAGTGGTCTCTAAATTAACTACTCTTGGGCGGCAACCAATGAGATCCCTCGGAGAGAACCAAGGATAGAGCTCAACCACTGAGATCACTGGATTCTCTTTAATCTTATTGGTTGCCGCCCAAGAGTAGTTAGTGGACAGACCACTTGATGGCTCCCACATCAACATTGAGTTCGCGAATAGGAAAAGCAAGTGAAAACCTCTAATCATCAAGAATAGAGAGAAGAAGGTCGAACTGTGTACACTGATAGAACGGATTAGTTATTGTTAACGAATGGATTTTGGTAGGAGGTTAGGGTCTATTCGGTCCCACCAAATGTTCATTCGTTAATAGTTAACAAATGTATATTTGGGGAGCCTTGTTTGAGTTGACTATCGCCATTCAAGTGAACCATTCGTTAACTTTTAACGAATATTCATTTGGTCATATTCAACTCTACCATTCGTTAATAGTTAACGAATCTCGTTTGGAACAAATAAATCATTCTATCAGTGTACTGATCTTGGGCCTAAATCGAAAATTTCAAATAAATCGTAGAGGTCGCTGCAGTTGTGAGCGATGAGACACAGTCGTGGTGGAGACGGAAGTTTAGAATGGTATTAGTGATTTGCTTGGATCAAGTGGAAACAAGAGTAGATGTATTTTGCTATTTTAAATTGAACATTTGAAGGAAGTTTCGCGCTTTCGTAAACGAAGAACACCTCCGCGTCACTATCATCAAACTTTTTTCATTTCATTGAAGAATAATGATAGAAAACAGAATAAAACAAGAAGCTAAGAAGCGTATTGACGGATAAATCGGATTTTAAGGCAGAATCAAGAAATACACTACTACATGGGAAATCTTGTGTCCATGAATGAGTCATATTCAATCCAAGAGCCACCTGCAGGAGTCTTCATCACCTACCGTGCCGATTCATTTACCCTCCCCATTTTCAATGGAGGCCCCCATTCAGTTCGATCCCCTTCCCTCTATTCTTCATGAATGAAAGCTTTCTGCAGCATTAAATCTTAGTTCTCATTATTCCTGTTGGAATCGCATCGGTACCCCACCAGCCACCATGAACTCATACTTCCAGATCAACCAGTCTCTTCAGGGCCCCCACTCAGCATTACAAAATCATTTGAAATTATAAAATTTCATCTACGCTCCATTCGTTTAAATGTAAAAACGTGGACGTGTAATAACGTGTTTTTTTGCGCAATTGCGATAATGTTAACATAGATGATGGAGAGCCCAAATGGGCTTATTACAAGCACAGCCAAAATATTATATTACTTGTGAACGTTATAGTCTGTTAATGACCATAATTGAATCTGCTCGCACAAATTCACTGAAAATTATTTCATCATTGATGAATGAATCATTTGTTTTAACTACCGTGATCTTGATCGAGTTCGTCTAATGATTCCAATCGTGCTATTGGCGCTTCGGTCAAGGTGAACTCCCATGATATGTCCTCACTTGTTTGTCTGGTTGTCTCGGTTCTCGGGGCTGGAATATCTGGCGTTTGCTGAGTTCTAATGTCTGGCTTTGGTATCGTCGTAGTGCCACTGTAATCCAGATTTGTGCTACGATGAGACTGTGAGGGACTTAGTTCTTTCTTCTGCTCACTACTGCGGGGACGCTGAATCGCTGCTGTGGGGCGTGTCTCGACTGTTGATACTGCACAGGTACTCCAGGGATCGTCGGACTCGGGTTCTGAACGTTTATTGAATGAACTGTATCTGGAAAATAGGATCAGTTAGGAGTTCATCAATTTCGAGGATAAGAAAGCGTAGGATAAACAGGCCAATAGCTGGACGGTCAAGGTAATTTTTAGCTTTATTAAGAGGGCACGAGAGTAAAAAAAAACTACCGAAATGCGGGCAAATCTGAGCTCCACAAAGTCTTTTCATTTGGTGAATTCCGAGGCTCAAAAGTTATCAGCACCAAATCCTTAGTATTTTGAAAATGTTATGGAACAAGTTGAGGGTGGTCTGAGAAGGATAAATATTTTTTTTTAATGTTTAAAAGTACGAGGTGGCTGACAGCTGGGAGCGCCGCCATCTTGGAAGTACTTTGCGGTCCAGGGAGAGGGATCCAAGCATCATGGCGACGACCAGACCTGTCAACCACCTCGTATTTTTAATCATTTATTAAAAATATTTATCCTTCTCACACCACCCTCAACTTGTTCCATAACACTTTCGTGGTGCTAGGGATTTGGTGGTGACCACTTTTGAGCCTCGGAATTCACCAAACGACGAGAATTTATGGAGCTTAGATTTGCCCGCATTTCGATAGTTTTTTTTTACCCTCGTGCCCTCTTAAAGGATTTAACATCGATGACGTTGCTAAATGAATAAAAAATGAGTTCTAGACCTGAAAGAATATGTGAATTAGGAAAAAACAATAATTTGAAGTGGAAAAAATGAAGAGAAGAATAATTGAATGAGGGAAAAGTGGAATATCGTCCGAATCCCAATAAGTGGACACTAGGGCTAATAAATGGGCGGTGCATGGGCAATACATAGGCGGTTTGGAGGAATATAGAATTTTCATCCAGTTTATACAAACATGTGAATTTTTTTTATTGAATGTGAAGAAATACAAGGCCAAATCGATTAATTTTCCGTACAGTTTTCATTCTAGTATTTATAGTATATTCATAATAAAAGGTGAAATTTTCAGGTATTGGCCCGAGTCCAGCTATTGGTCTGTTCACCCTATGTGCATGCAGGCATTTCGATAGAAGTAATTTTGGGGTTTTCTCCAGAAATTGAGGACAGATTGTTATGAAATTTTGATGACATCTTTTCGACAAAATTATCATCATTTGCCTTGTAGTGATCAATTTTTTCCCAAATGTATATCTTCATTTGAGAATTTCAATTCTAGATGATTCATAGAGGTAGCAATTTAAATTTGGTAATCAAATTCACAGACTGACTAATTCACTCATAAGAAAGACTATATCAATTAGTGTTTTGGTTTCCAATAATTTATATAATTTTTTCTGTTCATGATTCACCGGAGCCGATGAAACATATAATGTCAGAAATTTAAACTGAGTCACACTAGTGCAGAGCTGAACAAAATACTATTTGAAATACTATTTCAATCTGGACAATAATTCAGACAGTTTGAAATAATTCACCGAATTTCCTCTAATTTTTTTTTATTACTTGAAAGTTTTCTTTTTCTAGAGAAGAAATTAGAGCAGAAGCAACCATGAGAATTAAGAAACAATAATTAATAACAATAATTTTTCAAGATATAAAATACGTTGCGAACGAAATTAATATCATATTAGAAGATCATGAATTTTTCATGTAATGCCCTCCTACCTACTCCAAAATTCTATCCACCAATATCCTATGACGTCACAAAATGTGGAATACTATATAAAGTTCCGTCTTTAGTGATAATCACGGCAAGTAACCCATGGACGAAAGGCGATAATCCGCCCATTCAGCCAATTCTTCGTAATTCATTTCAATTACATCACCGCGAGCGATCAATGAAGGTGATAAGGCATAGGAAAGGAAAATATTCATAGGAAAAAAACTATTTCATATAAAGCCAAACATCGAAATAGTGAAATAACATGGTAAATACCATTTCATTTTCTGTATCGTTGAAATAAAATATCAAATAACTATTTTATTTCAATTTCAAAAAGACATAGAAATAAACACTATTTGATCGACCGAAATAGTCAACGTGAAATACATATTTCAAACAGTATTTCATCGTACTGAACAATTTGGAATAGTATTTTCATTTGATTTTTACGAAACAGTACCCAGCTCTGCACTAGTGTAATTTTACCGCGCTTTCTACTGAGTGAACGCAGATGATCGAAAATTAATAGCCTCCCTTACCCAGTCCTGAATTCACCACGTCTCAAAGCAGCTGGTTGGCTATGCCATCCATACAACTGCGGCTGATGATGGTGATGATGTGATTGTGAAGTCGTTGGTGGTCCCGTAAGATCAACCGGCTGACTCTGTGATCGGGTTGGTGCTGTTCTACTAGCAGCACCATTCAGGGCACTCTGCAGGGCAGTGGCAAGGGCTGATGTATCAGATGTTACTGTTAATCGTGATGTGCCTGAAGATGTTGATGTTGGATCTCTGCTCGATGGTGGCCTAATTTTTGCACCACATAGTATCATTTTCTTGGATCAATTCTAGTCCCAAATTTATAAGTTGTGCTAGGTAAGAGTTATTTCATCGGCTCAACCGATGCTAGGTTTTTTCATTAATAGTTTTTATTTTTTAATATCAGTCAACAATATATACGAAGCTCCGCATAGCCAGTTACTCGAGCAAGCCGGTGACTTTATTTACAGTGGTGGTGGATGCGTCGCTAAGTTAGGTTAACATTTCTCTATTAAATTGAATAAAATTATAATTATTGGATGGCGTCATGTGAGTTTTAATTTTATTGCTATGGCCTCTTTTGGTTCATGCACTGGAGGTCAAAGTTATAGATTATTTTCATATGTACAATTTATGAAATTTTATCATGCATGAACCATCTTGGCTTTCATTCAAGGAGATATTGAAGTAGGACCTAGCAGTTTGCATACTCTTTGCACCGCACGGCCCTGTTTGCATAATTCCGCTCTTGCTTTTCTCACCGCCTTCACTACTTCCTACTTCTCCAACGCTTATCCTAATAAGCCAATCAGATATCAGTAGTGAGCGGGACGACTGGGAACCGTCATGAGAATGACTCTGGTACCCCTCTCAGCTTGAATATGAACCCCGATAAGCAAATTATTAACCCTCGAGTGGTCGCGCTATGAGCAAAGCGCAGTCCTTTTCGTTTGTTTCATGATAACTGCGAAAATATCGATAATCACGAAATGCCAATGTAGGAGTTCCTCAAATAATCTGTCCTCGTGGCATTAAATCCGGTTTTATGGTTCTGCGGCCACCAAATCTTTTTTTATTAATTTTTCAATGAAGTGCGGTCAGAGAAAAGCGGCGCTGCGCTGGTTGCGCGACCAGAGTCGTAGTAGAAATTTGACGAGCGACGTTGCCAGTCCTCGTGCTGTTCCCAGCTGGTAGATAGAGAATCGTTCTGGCAACGTCACGCTCGAACATACACGGACTGCGCAGCGCTTAGTGCCCGACCAGACTCGTTCGGTGAAGAGGCGCGACTACCCGAGTGAAAATTCTGTTCAGGTCTCGATCAGAAACTGATCGAGTTCGATCCGAAATTCTGATCAGGCATGTTACGCCTCCACCTTATGTTTTTCCACTAGGGTATTCGAGGGTTAATAACAGGGATGGGCAATAAGGTAAAGGTACACATCATCACCCTCACGTGAAAACTTAGGTTGCTATTAATGAATTTAAACCTCTTTGAGTCATCTCATATTATAGTAAAGGCATGTTAATATAAATATTGAATTTTTATTAAGGTATTCAAATTAAATTCAAAGTGCATAGTAAGACGAATTAATCAAGCCCTACCAGCACTTAGCATGACCCAGGGTTCGCGACGGGGACGCGGCTGGTATGAACCCCACCAAAAACCCATATCGATAGAGGTTGGCGAAGTGCATGTTTACCGGTAATTTTGACAACATTAAAAAGAGATTATCTCCTTACATTGTTCAAAGTTTAACTATATTTAAGAAATTTAAAATATTATAAAATTTATTAACTAAATTTTTCGATTGATGGTGAATAAAATATTTGATAGTATTGAAATGTAATTTTTTAGTTAATAAGATAATTCTAAGTTTAGGTACTTGATTTTCGATTATCTAAATAATTGTCAATCTTCCTACATAAATTATTGGTTGATAGAATATTTCGAAATTTACATGTACAAATTAATGATTAATTTAATATTCAAAATTTTAAGGTTTATGTTAAAAATTGACAACTTCAGAATTTAATGGTAATTATGATTAATTGATATGCCTATCGCTGGTTAATAATATAATTTAGTAAATTATATTCATAATTATATTTCATTATATTCATATTCAAATTTATTATTCATATGTCTAAACAAACTGGCACAAACATGGGGCGATAAAATCATTTATTAGAAAAATGTTCTACATTTCTAAAGGAAATAGTTCAGTAGCTTCAGAGTTTCTCGGATTCATTGGACTATTTCTCATTATTCAATGCATCAAATTTGAAATACCAGATGTACGCATTACATTCTGCGTATATCTCAGAATCAGATGATTAATTACAGAAGGAGTAAGAGGGCGATTCGTAATACGCGAACATCTAGAGCGAAAATATGCAAGGCTACTGTGTATCTACTATTCTGCTAGGTTCTACTATGAAGAAGATACTGTGTAGTAATCTTCAGCAGTAATCATCCACTGTCGTTATCTCCCCAAAAGAAATATCATTCCAGTCGAGTGTGCAAAAGAGACAGTGAGACATAACTCTCCAGAGTTGCACAGGAATCTGAAGAGAATCACTATAAAGAGCAGAACAGAACTCAAGCATAAGGAGTCGAAAGATTCAAGATCTACAAGGATTCACTGAACAAGATGCTTCTCTGTCGCCCCCCCCCCTACCACCCCCCCAAGAGCAGTGTGAAATGGTGAGTGAGAATAAACACATGGCGCCATCGCAACAAAAAAGCCCCAAACAAAATTTCATAACAATGTATCTTTCATTTCTCTCAAATGTTCTTTTATTCTCGTCAATTTTCTTTTGTTTTTCTTAATATCGTCACCTTCGGTATTTGTCCAACTTTTCCAAAACAAAACGCGCCGAAATCAAATGCAACTGATCCAGGGATTTGGAAAGAAAGCTATTTTCGTCGAATAACGATGGTAGGAAACAAAAAAAGAATAAACATGAATTACTTTGGGTCACTGTGTTTTGGGTTGCGCAATAATATGCAGATTTAAAGTAACATCATATATTAAACATTGAGATCACGTCAAAATATATAAATTAATAGCTAACATAATCGTGTAAACACTCACCGGAAAAGACTGTGAGACGCACTTGACTGTATTTTTGTGCCATTTCCATTGGTTGATGATGTTGCTGGTATCGATGATGATTGTGGCTCACTGGCTGATCTTTGTGCCAGTGCTGGTGCACGATTTGACCTTGGTCCTGTTGTTGCAGCTGGCGCTGTGCCAGGCATCATTTCGGTGCTGGAACTCTCCTTGGATGTGTCTAATGTTTGCTGTAGCAATGCCAAAATGAGTCTTATGTCACTTGCCATTGTACGCTCTAGGGATGACACTTGTTTTGATAATTCATCTAGCCTAGTGTTCAACTCGTCCAGTGGTCGGCCGGGTCCACTTTGAAAGTCTCCTGTTGAATTCGATATCCTTTAGTTCATTCAATCACATGTCGTTCCTCGCTGAATTTCACATTAATTGTGTTTCATTTTAGGTGAAATTGACAATTTGATTGTTCATATGAAACAGAATTCTTTCGACGATGAATAAATAATTGTAAATTGATAAAAATAGGAATAATCGACGAGAAAGAAGCGAAAAGTCGAAGGAATTTTCATCTGACGCGACCATGATACAATCCTTTGAACTATAATAACATGTAAAAACATATAACCTCATATAACCCTTTAATGCCTTCTCCACGTCCTATTAGAACTTTCATTATTTCCAAAAATCAATCGCTCTCAAAAACAATATGAAAAATGAATGAATATTGGCCATCTGTGATGATGACTTAGTTTAACTCGAGACTCCTACATTTCAGAAATCGGCAAACTATAAATGAAGAATGATTTATTGGGCTAATAATGAAATGAATGTAAAATTAACCTTGACCAAAGAAATATATTCGACAGAAAATAGTCGATTACTTAAAATTTCACAAATAAACTTCTCATGAATTTGACGACAACAGGAGTACCAAATACACAATTTCGACGATAATAATAATATTGAACCAATTGTTGTAACACAAAATAAAGTGATCGCTGTAATGAAAAGACTAACGAACCGGATATGCGACAGAACACCGGAGACTTACATCGAGCAGAAAATAGTCCTCATTGGCAAAATTAAGAGTGAAATATTCACGAAACACATGAGTTGAATAGGAAACTGTTTGACGAACTCAATGATCCCCTGATAATTAATCTAATCGTCAACCCGAAAAATGTTCATACATGGGTGATAATTACCATTGGATGAAGGGTGCAACAGCTGTTGCTGCTGTTGCGATGGTGATGGTATTGTATAATGACTTGATGAATTTGATGTTGGTTGAATGCCATGACTAGCCATACTACTCTCAACCACCGCGGAACTACGTCTCCCTGGTCTCACCAATGTCGTCGTAGCTTAAAACACAAATTAACCCTTTAATACCACAAACAATTCCATGAACCAAGAAAATGTCTCCTACATCCTACCAAAATGCCGCATTATTTCTTTTGCATCAATATACCACAATGGTTAGTTACTATTTCATCAAGCGATTACACATTCCAGTTTAACTTCCATGCAGCAACCAGTGCGATTGGGAATGATGGTATTGATATTTCGCGGTGTTAGTGCTGATATCATACAGGGGGTGACACAGTGCATTTTTCTTAATCCCTCAATTGTTGTCTTCAGTTTTTTTTCTTTAATTTCTCATTATTTCAAATACTCACCCTGTTTAGCTAGATAGTCGTGACTCGTCAGCGGCTGTAGGTGAATCTTCTGCTGACGTAGATCCGGTATACTGCGCTTGAGATGGGTTAGCATGCCTGAACAACCAGGTGTGAATAAGGCGTTAAACTTACGTTTATGAAGGTGATAACCCAAAAACGATTTCTGTTTTTTTTATTTTTTTATTTTTTAATGGTCATGAATTCGGGGAGGGGAGCAATGAAAATCATAAGAGTCAATGGAACGACGGGAATGCCACACATTCAAAGCGCAGGAACTTTCCAATTATTATATTTTTACCAAGGGGATGTTGTTTTCATTATCGGGTCTCGTTAGTCGCTAATATCATTTAAACGACATTATTTCGTAACTTTGGGGGATTGATTGGATCGATGAATATTCATTAATTTTAAGGGTCATTAGGTTTCTCATTATTATTCAACTATTCAACATTGAAAAAAAATGATTCTCTCTTTGTTTTTTGGGAGGAGGAAAATGAAAGAAAAAATCATGCAAATTCTAAATTCTTGGTCAAAGCATGCGGATCATAATTTTTTCATCTCCTAACTAGAAATCATTGAAACCCAATCGATGGCAATCCGTTGAAGGTCAAATAAAGCTGTTCACATAGAAGAATAAGAGCCATAACGAATGGAAAAGAACATGATAAAAAAATGCTCTCAGTACGTTTATTTCCGGAATATCTGATGCACTAGGGTTATCGTGCAAGGAGCTGCATTCAGGTTTAAACCCTGTGTTGTCACTAATTTTCCGTTATTCACTGACAATTATCAAACCTGATCATCCCGTCAGTCGAAAGAAATCACTAGCGAAGTGGTAAAACGATTCAATTCAAGAGATGGTAAAATGTTTCTTATGACCTTTTTTGTAGAGCGAGATGAGCGCTACAAAAAAAGTCATGATGAAAATTTCGCTAGCTGCCTTACATTCCAAGATATTCATCGAAAACTGATCAATAGTCCAAATTTACTTGAACCGTTTTATTGTTTCGCTAGTAAAATTCAACGTGTCATCACAGAGTTCAATCATAAATTAATACTGCAACGTTCGATCCCAACTTCAAAACAATCATCTCAACTGAGACAATAATAATGTCCGATTGAAATAAAACAAAGGGTTGAATCATAGAAGAAGGAGAGAACATAATACAAAATAGGTTTATGGTTTCCCTCACCGGTTATTGAATTCAATGTGGAGCTCCTTTGTTTTGGTTCCTCGAACTCGAGATTGAGCGGTGTGACATCTTGCCCTGCTTTGTCTGTGCTGAACTCAAGAATACCGTGGCCACTCGCTTTATCACTAATTTGAAAAACCATATTTGTGAATATTTCATAAAATACTCCCAGAGAGCGACTTTCATTCAAGTGGTTGTATACAAGTATCACACAAATAAAAACGTAATGAATGTGTGAATAATCTTCAATGGAGTTGATAATTCAGCAATAAACATTATGCAAATGGTCGTGGTGCGAACGACAATGCCAATGCAGATTATTCATTCTTGGAATTCATCCAGAAAATTGATCGCGTTATCAACCCTCTGACTCGCAAACCGTACGAACGTCGCGCGATTTGTTAGTGAGAAACGGCCACGTGACTATTCCCTCACTCCTGTCCCGTCAGGACCGTTGTAAGTATTGCAAAGCTATCGGGGTCCTCTGCATATTCTCGCGTAATACGTACTAGAAGTTTTGATGGAATAGAAAAAGAACGCGCGCTTCGCGCGCGCTTACTTAAGCTACACGGGGAGAAATATTCAAGAAAAATTACGGAACATTTCACGTAATCCGCAAGCGAGAATCGTTTTCAGTGAATTTCTATAGGAATATAAGAGAATAAATCTGAAACATTCAGTAAATTTTCGGGTCTGTCACCGAAAAAATACGAAAAAGTCACGTAATTTTTCTGGAAGTTGTAAAATCTAACAGAAACTTCAAGACTTATTATGCCTCAGAACATGAAAATTCTTGGATGTTTAAGAATTTTTACGAAAAGTTCCGGAAAAATTACGGAACGTGTTGTTAAAATCTCCCCCTCACGGTGACTCATGGCTAGCCATGAGGCGTCGGATGGATGAGTAATTTTTACGGAACAGATCGTAGAATTTACGTGACGATTGACACTTTTTATTGAATTTTACTTCGCTCCCAGATTACGTTTCGAAACGTAATTTTTACGTCTTTTTTCTGGCAATTTTTATTGAATATTTCTCTCCGTGTAGTGGTTCGTTGTATTTTTTATCCTTTCATTTATGTTTGAAAATAATAAAAGTAACGATAAACAATCAAAGGAACATATAATTCAGTAGCGAAGTGGTAAAAGGATTTAAGTCGACTTATCTCTCAGTTAAGGTTTTGAGGAATATTTCCGAATCTAAGGGAGATAGCGAAATTTTTGTGAAACCATTTGTTGTAGCGCTCATTTGGCTCCACAAAAAAGGTTATAACAAAAATTTTGCTATCTCCTTTAGATTCCGAAACATTGATTGAAAACTGGTCAATAGTCAAAATTGACTTATACCCTTTTACCACTTCGCTACTGAATTTAATGTAACGTTAGTACCATGACTTTTTACAGCTAGAATTATAGAATTATAATTCCAGCTGTAAAAAGAAAAGTTCATTGAGAATTATATAATATAATTATATATTATTTTACACTGAATGATTTCTTCATATCACAAGATTATACAAATTATTTATCTCTTTAAAAGAAGCTATTTTTTCAATTTTCTGTTTCGGTCATGATACACATATACATATGTATAAAAAATATATTCAGAAAATATCTTTTTAAAAAGAAATATAAAATAAAGATTTATATAATCTAGGATCCTAAGCAAAGATTATCCTCGTTGCTAGCTTTAAGGTTATCTCTGGCAAATTAGATTGCTGACAAAAAAGATGACATCAATTTTTTAATAGAGGATAGACCACAAATAACGAGAGATAAAAAACGAAAAAAAGTCAGTGATACAGTCAGTGCCTAAAAAAAAAATGAAAGTTCATTGAAAAGTGTATGTGGAAGTCCTGGTAAATACATGAAACAAAGAAAGATACCTTCAAATTGTGAAATGAATCCACATGATTTTTCAGCAATGAAAAAGAACAAAATTGATGAAAAAGTAGAACGAAAAGGGTCTTCAAATATTGAGAATTATCCAGCGCAACCATTTGTTGAAAATCGAGGTCCTGTTCATGATTTGGAGATTGACAGCAATGAGATGTTTTACTTCAAATTGCTTCTTTTCTTCTTTAAATTTGTTCCATGCTATCTACCAATAAATTCCTTTTAAAAAATTTTATATTTGGAACTCATGTATCCAAACGTGCGCTTAGTGTTACGGCACTGTTCGCGCGCTTACTACTCATCCCCTTCCACGTCGAACGTCCGGCCCCCATAGGTAGTGGGGATACGATTGTGAGCCAGAGGGTTAAAAGTTACGAGATTATTACGAAAGAAGAGATAACAATTATGTAAGAGTTTTATCATAATTAGCATTCGCAGGCAAGTAATACATTGACAAACTCACAATTCATCAGCATCGTCCTGAAGTGAGTCTTGTCTACCACTTGGCAATAAGTGTGCACTCGTTAAACTTTGACCGCCAGGCCCATAACGATATCTAGGTGGACGGAAAGCAAATCTTCTCGTATCAGTGTCAATATCCGTTGGTGTGCTCACTGGAAATCGTGCAGAGATTGGATCAACGCCAGCTTGTTCTTCCTGAAAACATTCTCCCAATTTTAAAAATGACATTTGAGAAAAACATCAATAGTTCCAGGCTCGCAACAACACAGTATTGGACTCACATCTCTCATATTAAAAGTTATCTCCAAATTTTCGATGAAATGCTGATGAAATTCTGGATAAAGTGCAAGAACATCCAATAGATCATCGCGATGTATTTTATGAAGATCACAATATGTCAACGCTCGTACATTGCAGGAAGACTTTCCAACGGTCGCATGCTCACAAGGATTTTCACCGAATATATCAGGTGGATTGAGGATGGCCATTACAATGTCGTTTTTCAGTATTTCGATACTACCACGTGATATAAAATAGAGTGACGTTAAAACGTCACCACGATGGACTAGAGTGTCACCAGGTGGTGCATGAGTTGTTTTGAATTTTAGAGAGAGAGCCCTGAAAATAATGGATTGTTATTCCAGTCGACACTCTGTATAAGATGCCTCTCTATAAAATCAAAAAATTCAAAATTCTCCTACAAAACTATTTAACTAGTCTGGATGACTCGTGTCCAGAACAAAGAGGATTTACGGATTCATAAAAAAATGCTGAAACTTTACCTCAAACACCCGGGACTGGCTTTCTCAAAGGCTTTGCAGTTGTTGAGGAGTTGTCGGTTTAAATGAAGACAAATGTCCGCTTGGAGGCACTCCGGAAAACCTTTGAGAACGCTATTCATGTCAATGCCGTTCGTGTAAGTCCAGGCATGCTGGAAGTACTCTTCTAAACGTTGACGAAGGGGATTTGGTATTTGATGGAATCTTATGAATTCCCTCACGCGAAGCATCTGCGTATGATACCTGGCAGTGCCACTGTAGAGGCGTTGAATTATCGCCGATACGTTGCCGAATATACTGGCGTACATGAGAGCTGAAAGAGGAAATCAAACGGTTTCGATCCAAAATTTTGTTTACGTGATACGTCTTAAATTTCATTTTGAGGGTCATTCGCGGAGTTATCCCTAACGGCCGGTGCCATCCATCGGAACTGCAAATTATCGGTTGGAATTGCGACGTAATGAGGGAAGACTAAAATTCCTGTTTTTTTTGTTTTAAAGTTCAATCGTGATCATTAAAGGGGAAAATAAACCAACTGATAATTCTATTACTTCTTCGAGCGAAGCTCCGACTAGTTAAGGAACTTTACTACTCAAGAGTCTGATTTATACTTCCATCATCATTCAATGTTTGAGGGCTCTGGGAAGGCTGGGAAAAATGTCATATTTCCCGCGTGAATAATTCATCAAGACCTGGTTGAGTAGTCCTGACATACTCGAAGAAAAGTATTGTCCGTTGACAACTGAACCGTTGCATTTCGCGGAGTTTTTATTCTACTGACAAACCCTTTTGTATTTCTTTAAAGGCATGTATTGTGAAATTTGAAATATTCCGACTGGTAATCCTATTATTTCTTTGAGCGAAGTTCCGAGTAGATAGGAACACTCGAGAGTCTGATTTATGCTTCTAACATCATTAAATGTTTGAGGGTTTTGGAGAGACTGGAAATTACGTCATATATCCGGAGTGAACAATTCATTAACTCCTGGCTGAGTACTCCTGACCCATAAACAATCTGCTCCCTCGAGAATTCAGAAAATTGTGACATACTCATAGAAAAGTATTTTGTTTCGAGAGAAAAGTCTTCTGCAAACTCGAGTGTTTCCTACGGTTTCTTCTGAACTTTTGACAAACCCCCTGGTATATTTCTTTAAATGTAGGTATTGTGAAATTTGAAATATTCCGACTGGTAATCCTATTATTTCTTTGAGCGAAGTTCCGAGTAGATAGGAACACTCGAGAGTCTGATTTATGCTTCTAACATCATTAAATGTTTGAGGGTTTTGGAGAGACTGGAAATTACGTCATATATCCCAAGTGAACAATTCATCAACTCTTGGTTGAGTACTCCTGACCCATAAACAATCTACTCCCTCGAGAATTCCGAGAATTGTGACATACTCATAGAAAAGTATTTTCCTTCGAGAGAAAAATCTTCTGCGAACTCGAGTGTTTCCAACGGTTTTTTCTGAACCTTTGACAAACCCCCTTGTATATTTCTTTAAATGTAGGTATTGTGAAATTTGGAATATTCCGACTGGTAATCCTATTATTTCTTTGAGCGAAGTTCCGAGTAGATAGGAACACTCGAGAGTCTGATTTATGCTTCTAACATCATTAAATGTTTGAGGGTTTTGGAGAGACTGGAAATTACGTCATATATCCGGAGTGAACAATTCATTAACTCCTGGCTGAGTACTCCTGACCCATAAACAATCTGCTCCCTCGAGAATTCAGAAAATTGTGACATACTCATAGAAAAGTATTTTGTTTCGAGAGAAAAGTCTTCTGCAAACTCGAGTGTTTCCTACGGTTTCTTCTGAACTTTTGACAAACCCCCTTGTATATTTCTTTAAATGTAGGTATTGTGAAATTTGAAATATTCCGACTGGTAATCCTATTATTTCTTTGAGCGAAGTTCCGAGTAGATAGGAACACTCGAGAGTCTGATTTATGCTTCTAACATCATTAAATGTTTGAGGGTTTTGGAGAGACTGGAAATTACGATATATATCCCAAGTGAATTCATCAACTCTTAGTTGAGTACTCCTTACCCATAAACAATCTACTCCCTCGAGAATTCAGAAAATTGTGACATACTCATAGAAAAGTATTTTCTTTCGAGAGAAAAGTCTTCTGCAAACTCGAGTGTTTCCTACGGTTTCTTCTGAACTTTTGACAAACCCCCTTGTATATTTCTTTAAATGTAGGTATTGTGAAATTTGAAATATTCCGACTGGTAATCCTATTATTTCTTTGAGCGAAGTTCCGAGTAGATAGGAACACTCGAGAGTCTGATTTATGCTTCTAACATCATTAAATGTTTGAGGGTTTTGGAGAGACTGGAAATTACGTCATATATCCCAAGTGAACAATTCATCAACTCTTGGTTGAGTACTCCTGACCCATAAACAATCTACTCCCTCGAGAATTCCGAGAATTGTGACATACTCATAGAAAAGTATTTTCCTTCGAGAGAAAAGTCTTCTGCGAACTCGAGTGTTTCCAACGGTTTTTTCTGAACCTTTGACAAACCCCCTTGTATATTTCTTTAAATGTAGGTATTGTGAAATTTGGAATATTCCGACTGGTAATCCTATTATTTCTTTGAGCGAAGTTCCGAGTAGATAGGAACACTCGAGAGTCTGATTTATGCTTCTAACATCATTAAATGTTTGAGGGTTTTGGAGAGACTGGAAATTACGTCATATATCCCAAGTGAACAATTCATCAACTCTTGGTTGAGTACTCCTGACCCATAAACAATCTACTCCCTCGAGAATTCCGAGAATTGTGACATACTCATAGAAAAGTATTTTCCTTCGAGAGAAAAATCTTCTGTGAACTCGAGTGTTTCCTACGGTTTCTTCTGAACCTCTGCATTCCACGGAGTTTTTGTTGTGCTGGTAAACCCCCTTGTCTTTCTTTGAAGGAAAGTAATGTGACGAAGAATTTCATTCTTCACAGTTATTGAACTGACTTGGCCCACATTGAGAGGAATATTTTTCTCATATTATGAAGGTATCAGAAATGTTCATTTTGCAATTTTTCTATTTTAACTTATACTCACAGCCAATTAACATGACGACGATTGTGAAGATTTTCTCGGTGTCTGTGTTGGGGGCTACATTACCAAAACCTACGGATGTTAAGCTGCTGAAGGTGAAGTACAGAGCTGTTATGTAACGACTCTGCAACAGTAGAAAAATCCTGTGAAACTTACAGCTAAATGTCGCAATCTGCGATGAAAATCAATAATCCTGCTGTACACTTCATGGGAAAATATTACGATGCAGAATAAAAAAGGTGACGATAAACCAATAATTTCTCCATCGCAGAGGAACCTATCAGCCTCACCTTTATACTAGGTCCGCCAGTGTTGTTATTGAAATAGAATTGATGCGTATCATTAGCGAGAATATCCAACCATCCAACTTTACTCTTGAGGGACGGTCGCTCAGCATTACCGATAGCGTACCTGGGTGAAATTCATTGGCAAAATTAGAGATTTATGAAGGGAATCATCGAGCCCCAGGGGAGAATCGATAATTCGTTGATAAATTTCAATGGACGAAACTGGATTTGAATGTAGGGATGTAGCGGGCAAAGCTGGCCGGTCAATTCCCCGTCATTTTACGCGTCACTGACTGAAGGCCAATTACTAACCATTTTTGGTAAGAAAAGTGAGGGAATTTCGTGTTACAAAAATGAAAAAATCCTGACGGTCAGTTTATGTTTAGATAAAGCCAGTGGATTATTCTCTCTCTAATTAGCTTCAGACTCGCGACAAATATCATTCATCATGACTGAGCCTTAGACTCGAGAGCTTTCTAAATTTTAATACGAGACAGCCTGCTTTGGGCACCATATGTTTGAGAGAACGACGAACGAAATCGTTTATCTAATGGAAAATTTTACACGACTGTTTTTCTATAATTGAACTTTATAGATTCTATTATAATAATAAATAAAAAAAAGTTCTACGAAACTTTTCTAATTTTTTTGCAATTTCATACTAAAGTAATATTCACTAGATTTTCGATTTTCGAATTTCTGAAAAAATTCACGAAGAAAATGAAAACAAAAATAACAATCAGATTACATCTAGATAGATGATTTTTTAGCATAACTAACAATCAGAAAAAATTACTGACGATTGGGTAAGATGACCGGCCAATTTGCATCACGAAGTATGCGTCAAGTCACAAATGTTCAGAGAACGGTAAATTTGTGAGTGACTTGACGCATGTAAAAATTTACCGTCATTTTCCATCGCTAATCGATTCTATGATAAAACTAAATGAAGCAAGTTCTACGAAACTTGTCTCATTTTCTGCAATTCCATACTAAAGTAATATGCACTAAATTTTCGACTTTCATTCAAATTTCTGAAGAAAATGAAAAAAAAAATGATCGGGCACAAAAATGACAGTCAGATTATATCTAAATAGACGATTTTTCAGTATAAATGACAATGAGAAAAAATTACTGACGATTGGGTAAGCTGACTAAAGGTGTCAGTTTGCATCACGACGTATGCGTAAACTCAAAAATGTCCAGAAAACGGCAAATTTATGAGTGACTTGTCACAGGTAAACAATTACCGTCATTTTGCATCCCTACTTGAGTGTTAATGGACGTGTCACGTACCAAATGCAAGCCATCCAATGAGCGATGAGGGCAAATGTTGCCATTAGTAGTAGTAGTACTGCTGCCCCATATTCACTGTAACGGTCGATTTTACGGGCAACCCTTACCAGCCTCAATAGACGTGCAGTCTTCAGTAGTCCCATCAGGGTCGTTGTCTGGAAATAAATTTTTTATTCCTCGTTATCGACTCACGAACGAGGATTTTAATTTAATAGCCAAAAGTCTTGAGAATTATAAATTTTTTCCACTGATTTTCAGGGAAAGTTTTTGCAAAATGAGTGGGATTCGCTCGTCTAAGAGATCTATATTCAGCGATTTTCCAGTGAAAAATAGAAACTTTTGTTCTCTGGAATATACAAATCATTCTAGGACATCGTGAAAACGTAAAATCGACAGCTCCAGTTTTCTGAATAGCTTTTTTTCGCTCATAAAATAATCAATTCAACTTTTTTTCGCGAAAAATTGATGAGTTTTTCTGAGCCACTGCGAGTTAACTCGCAATCTCATGAGTAATTATTTTGGTTGAGATCTGTGGGAATTTTAATGAGAATGTATGGGATTCGCTGAATGAGAATCTGCACTCCCTCAGGGAGAAAATGCTTCACTCCCTCACCCCAGTAGATAATAATAATCAAACAGTTTTCACACATCGTCGTAAAACACTCAGTCACAAAAATAAAAATGCCGCAGCATTTTCATTAGCGTCAGGTATAAAAAAAATTACTGAAGAAGGAAAAGCAGAAGAAGCGTTAAAATGGAAAAATCGTTGAGTAAGCAAATATTTGGGATGACCAATAATCGTAGATACTACATTGAAATACACCCCATATTCCACATTCTACCGAAGAAAATAAGCTGGCAAAATGAAAGAGAGGCGCAAAATAATCCACCATTTTTCCTCATCATTTCTGAAGGTGTAATTTTTAAAACCTAGAGTAGATAAAGTTGACATGATATTTTGGATAATATTATTTATGAAGTGGGCCTTTATCTTCAGTGTCACACGAAACTCAACGTGAAGTAAAAATTGAAAATCCAAAACCAATTTTTTCGAATTTTTATTTTCAATCGTGATAAAATTCTGTGCAAAGACATCTCTAACACTCAAATTTTGCAGAAAGTATGCAAGAAATTGTTAATATTGCCTACAAAAAATTCTGTTATTAATCACGCACCCATTTCTGGTTATATCTATATTCATTCTGACAACTCAAATCATCTAGAAGAAGACAGAGAGAGACTTGAAAATTGAGAGGGAAAAAAAAATCTACAAAAAATTAAGTATTCTAATTATGAAAGATTAAGTGTACAATTTGTATTTCAATGTGAGTTAAAAGCGAATGCGAATGAAAATCGTGTAAATAAAAACCGTGGATTTATTTTCAATGATTCATTATCAAAAATTCAACCAAATTCAGCGTAAAAATAATAGAGAGATCATTTCTGATGTTATCTCTGAATTCTCTCAAATCAAAATAAAATCATAATTTGCACTTTAATAATTGGCAATTTCTTTCTGTCAATTGTGACTAACCTCATCCTTGTCCAAGCCAAGCTACGTAGAAATGTTGAACTATAGTTAAATATTTTTTTCTCCACACTTTGCAATGAAACTTGAGATAATTCATCGCATAAATTGGATTTAAATTCTACTTTTATCTCACACATGACATGAACACACTCTATCTCCCAATTTGAAACAATGATTGTGCATGATTCAATTGAATGAGTGATTGCTTGATTTGACCGAGGGCCGGTGAGTGGATAAAATCGAATGAAATTAAAATTCAGGAGGTTCATCGTTGATCCAAAGAATACTGTAAAAACACCGAGTGTTAATTTCTAAAAATAAATTCTCACTGAAAGGTTTTCACGGATCGAAAATAAAACCGCATTATTTCGGAAGTTAACAACTTTTAAATATGTATTCACACCAAGGAACTCAGGATAATCTGGAGGAGTAAAAATTAGTACTGGAGTATGTGAAAATAAAAATGAAGGCTTCAATGAGAGATCAAAATTCGGGACGAGTGATTGATATTCTCCACTCACCTCGTCAGTATTGTAACCATATAATAACAGGTCGAAGGGAATGGCAGCTACCAAGTCGATGACGAACCATCCCCTCAGGTAGTGGACGGCTATCTTCCATGGTCCTGAGACAACCTCGTCGTTCGGATTGACGAAGGTCGTGCGAAAATTTATGAGTATGTCCACGACAAAAGTCACATCGACTGGAAACGAAAGAACGAGGAAGTACAATTTTCATGAGATTTAACCGCTCATCAATGCCTATTGATAACTATTTCTGTAATGTCCAGGATATTTCAGGGCGAGTGTCATGGGTTTTTTTACTCGCGTGGAGTTGGCGTCCGAGCCGAAGGCGACGACTGATGGACAACCACGCTGAATCTTTAAAAGTGTCTGAAAATCTAATTGATGTCTGAAAATTTCAAACCCCGCTTGTGTCTGAAATTCATGTCTGTATCTTAATTTCAGACATCGGTAATTAGATAACATAGCAACTCCAATTCATTCGGAATACTGATAGAATATCAGTAAATATCAACTTTTTATATTGATCTTGAAGTAATTCGACACACGTAATAATATTTATGCTCATGTAGATGTACAGGACTTCCCATTCTGCGTTTTTCCTTCTAAAAGCAGTTATGAAATTTCATTTATGAGGTGTTCATAAAAATTGAACGTGTAGTGAAGCACTTATTCTTAAAATATCAAGCTTCACCAGCACTTAGCGTTACCCAGGGTTCGCAACGGGGACGCAGCTGGTATGAACCCCACAAAGGTCAAAATTTGACCCAGTCACCCCCTTCAAGTTAATTCCCTCATTGAGTGCGAGTCAATTTTCTTGTTGATTTCAATTTCTATTGGTATTAAATGACTAAATAATTCAGCTTCCTCAAAAAATTCGTTGGAACAGTTATATACTCTAATTACCCAGGCATCTTGCTGTCTGAAATTGAAATACCTCTATTGACTCAGACACATTTAAATGGACGATACAATGAACACACAATGAACGAGTTCGTTGTGTGTTCAGACACATTTTAATGTCTCAAAAGTGTCTACAAAATCGTCCCAAAAGTGTTTGAAAAGTGTCGACAAAAGTGTCTGAAATTCAGACATTAGTTTTCGCAGTGTAATTGAAAGTAACGCCACATGGTTTTGGAAAGGTGAAAGTTGAGTCCAACAAGACTCCTCAAACATGCATTTATTAACTGTTAACGAATGAACATCTGGTCAGACCAAATAGACCCTAGACTCCAACCAAATTCATTTGTCAACAATAATAAAAGAACATGACCCCCGTGACAGAAATCCTGGAATCAAAGGGTCTTCAGTCAAGCGGGCAAGACAAGTGGATTGATCATAAGGGTCGAAAGGAAGTTTTGACCCTTATCATCGCTTCATTCGTCTCCAAAAAATGAACCAGGACCACGGGGATCTTACATAAATTGTCAACAGTAACTGGTAAATACTCACCGATCAGATCAATGATGACAATAGGATCTTCACTATACTTAGTTGCCTTCTTTTTACTACCGTAATCGGGTTCACCAAGGAGGAATGCAGCAACGTAGGGGGTAAAAATAGCAGTGTACATAACCAGAATGAGAATGATCCAATCCCACACAGCTTTGAATGGTGAGTAATGAAGAATTGTCCACTTGTGTACACGTGGCGATTGCAGTTTGTACTCAGGTAGAACATCAGCACCGAGGGACAATACCTGAACAAACAATATTTCCGATCAATGTTCAATTACAAGGGGCTGTCACGTGATGAAAAAAACAACATTCAACTTCACGTTTCGTTCGACAATTTCGAAATGATCCTCCACCACAACAAATATTTCAGTCTTCGATGGAATGTGTGAACATCAGCCACTTAATGATCCTTGAAATGAATGAAAATCGCGTAAAATTTTCCGGAAATCGGATTTCAAAGCCTTCACAGCATCGTAAAAACCTGAAATTTTCTCGTTAAAATACTAAAAATAATTTCGGGAATTCAACCTTTCTTCGCGCGTCCACACAACATCGAATGCACATGCAAACAAAAATGCAACAGCGATGAATCATTTGGACTTGAGTTGCCGGATTTCACTGCACTATTAATTTACACAGGTGTATATATGCAGTTTTAAACATCCACGTGATTATCTCTCCAGGCTTAGTCGGATGAATACCTCGTCGCAATTCGCAACTACTTCGTAATGGGAGCAATTTGGCGGAGAAAGGTTCATATTTATACGTTAACCGTGCGCTGATGGTGCCCGTACTGGACCGTTTCACAAATGTTAAACGGCTAAATAGGGGCGCAATGGTGATCAGGGCGCAAGACTCAATGGAAACCCCTTTGATGCGGGAATAATCAGAGTATCCGAACGCGAATCCGATGGCAGTCCATGGGAATTAATTTTTTCAGGGCCCTGTTTGGTTTTTTTCGAAATATCTGTTCGCGAAATCTGTGATGTTATCGCTGAAAAAGGGATTTTATTGCTTCCGAATGGAAGCATTGTAATCGTCCGATTTTTACATTCTCTAATTTTGATTGGAAATTATGTAGAATGGTCTGAGACATAAAAATAAGAAAATGGTATACTGTTTGGAAATTTCTATGGAAGTTAAGTACCACTTGAATTTCAAGGAATTTCGTAAGTGAAAATTCAGAATTTCGTGGAAAAATCAAAGAGAACTGTAAATTTCAGTTTCATGTTTCCCTGAAAATAAATAGAAAACCGGAAAATTCCGATAAATATATTCTGGAATTTACAGGACAGTGATACTGAATGCCATTTAGGGGAAAAAGAATTATGAAATTTCAGATTTCACTGAAAATTTTATGGAATTTGCCACTGAATATTCATATTAGATTGTAAATTCAAATAACTTGAGGAATTCTCGTGTTTATGCTGCTTAAAATTGTGGAATTTTACTAAATTTTCAATGAAATCTGAAATCTCATGATTTTTCCCCCTAAATCATATTCAGTGTCACTGTCCTGAAAATATATAGTCAACTGGCCATGAAATTTATTTATTTTTTCCAACAGTACACCGTCCTGGTGGTCAGTTTTTATAAATTGAGTAATTAAGTGGCTAAAGTAATTCTAAAAAATCTGAAAGTTCATCAGATTATAGGTCTTAATAAGGACTAACTCTGTGCAAAATTTCAGCCCGATCGATCTAATGGTTTTTGAGAAAAAGCGATTCGTTTCTAAATCGTTTTCCGCAAATATCTTCAAAACTAGCGGAGCGATTTCGATTTTTTTGTTTTCAAAATATTCGTTTTGATGCCTTCTATCAACATCAATCAAAACATATATACCCGTTCATACAGAGTTTTTGAGATATTCCCGCTTTTCCGTTTTTCCATTTAAAAAAAAATAGAAATCACTGTAGCTTGTGCTACTAGTTAGTTTCTGCTACTAGTTAGCGTTTTAAAGCTATAAACTTTTGTAATATTTCAGAAGACATCACTCAGTGGCATGCTCACTGTCATATGGCGCGCTATCATATGCTCGCTGTCCCCTGCTTGCTTCGAGTATTCAATCGTGGAAGAAACATCCGTGTTCAGCAGCTTTCATGATTTCACCGCAAAGTTGAAGCAGAAATTAACGATCATAATTGCTTCTTAGAATGGGGTTACATGGGGTTCGAAGGTTTCCATCTAATTATCAATATTACCTGTCTGCGAGGCTTTCAAAGCCCCATATAATCTCGGTACAAGAGCCAACTCGGATAATTAATTTCTTTCATAACTTTGTGTTAAAGTCATTAGGGGTTTTCCCTTATGGTCCCAATTTGAATGAAGAACATGTCCAGGGAAAATTTCATTTTTTTGTGGAAATTACTGAGCTGAACGCGGCGTGAATTTTGCAGAAAATACTCTCTGCACGGAAAGTAATTTTTTTTTTTTTTTTTTTTATGCTTATTTTATATCGCTTCGAGTCTGATGAGACTATATGGCGATTGATCAAGACTTTAAAAATGGTTAGATCTCACCATTCTACCCGGCCAGGAATCGAACCTGGAACCTATCCGTTGTGAGGCAACGGCCTTAACCACTACGCCAGGCCACCGGGCTGAAAGTAATTTTTGATAAAAATTATCCTACCGTTTTATAAAAGTCTATCGTGAGCCCTCGTTTCCTCATTTCTATCCCGAAATTTAGTCAAAAGTAATAGATGATGATCAAATTTTATTTTACGTTGGAGAAATTTTATCCTGACGCACACGAAAAGAAATTTTCTAAAGAAATTCTAGTACGAGTACTGGAAAAAATTATAATCCACCGGCTGTGAAAAATTCTAGTGCTGTTAAGGTAAAATTTCTTGGTATTTCTGCGAAATTTTCACCGAAAAACGGGGGAAAATTCACGTTTTTTCCAATAAAATTTCTAGTGCCAGCAGTGGATTTTTTCCTGGCCGTCACTTTGCGCCTCTTTTTCCGTGCTAGCACTAAAATTTTTCTAAAAAATTTCTCTCCGTGCATAATAAATTTTACCCTTCCAGTCCAATAATTTTTATGTAGATAACAACGAAAATCCTAGAACGGTTGGTAAATTTTACCCTATCGGAACAGTAATTTTATTTTTATCGGGATCAAATTTCTCTGACATGGAATAAAATTTTATTGTCATATATGAATTTTGACTAAATTTCGGGATAGAAATGAGGAAACAATGACTCATGATACACTTTTATAGAACGGTAAGACAATTTTTATCAAAAATTTCTCTCCGTGTGAAATTGCCACGCCAGCATTTACTAACATAAGCCCTAGGATATGTACAGTGAGTTATTCAATCTCTGATTTTTTGTAGAAATTTCTGGATTGTAAATTTGAGATAAATGAAAAATCGCCGGAGGTTGGGTCTGAACCTACAACCCTTGGGCTTCCAGTCTGAATCGATGCATACATGACTCGCTTGAAACATGCACTCTAACCCAGGCGTGGGCAATGTCCGGGTAGCGGAGCTACTGCAATGAAAGCAATTAATAAGGGTTATAAAGTTTACAACTCCCCCAATTACAGGGGTACTATGCGATTATAGTGGAGTTAACGGAGTGAGTGCAGTGGGGAGCGCCTCACGCGCGAGTGTGGGAAGTGAAATTTGTTCCAAGGGCTTAAGGATATCCAAGTATTTTTTACAGTTTGGTACAGACCACACTATAGATTCAACAATTTTCAATCATCAAATTTGTCAATCAAATCGCGTGAGAAATATTTGAAAAAAATCATGATTATTCAGTGTCATTCAAATTTCAATTTGCACAGAATTATTATTTTTTAAACATTCGTTGTTTATAATTAAATAATTAAAATTGTTTAAACTTTCGGAAACCTTTTTTTAGGTATGAAATCGGTTTTTGGTAAAATTCTGAATATGAATAAATTTGTTACGATTCCGAACAAATAATTTTTATGGTAGAAAATTGATTATTTATAAATTATTTATAGAAAAGGCTCATAATTTTCAAAAATTGCAACTTTTTAATTATTTCATCAATCTTCCTCCAAAAGTAAACTTTCTAAAATTTCTTCAGATTTTTATGTTTTCTAACAGTTCAATATCAAGATTCAAATTCAGACCTGCAAAGTTTAAATAATAAAATCTTTGTAAAATGTCCGGAAACTTAGGGTCAAATGGGGCTCAAATGAAAGCTGTGAGGCTCGACTAGAAAAGTAAAAAAGCATTTCACTGGAGAAAAAATAGTCAAAGTACTGGGATATCCTTAACATTTTTTTTCTTTGAAATTAATTAAGTAGCGAAGCGGTGAAACTGTTTAAGTCGATTTTGATTATTGGCCAGTTTTTAATGAATATCTCGTAATCTAAGGCAGATAGCAAAATTTTTGTTATGGGCTTTTTTTGTAGTGAATTGAGAGCTATAAAAAAGGTTTGTTTGAAACGCAGCAAATAAGTCGTCATCAAAAGTTACCGGTCTCAACGGAAAATCTCGACAGACTTCGGGATCCTTCGGGTTCACGGGCAAATCACGTAGCAAATCGCCAAATATGAATTTCAGTGTCAATCTATCCATCAAAGAGTATACACCTGTTAGAGAGTCACCTATTGAGTACAGTATCAACGTCACCGCTGAACCGAGTACATCACCGTATTGTATTGAGTGTAGCGATCTCTGTAGCGTCTCTATATCATTTAATTATCAATTTATTCCGAGTTAACTATCAATCATTTTGAGGCAATTATCAAGTTTAATATCAAGAGATTATCAAGTGCACTGTAAAGACTATTATCGAATTTAAGTTTTTTTTTAAGGCAACAATAACTGTTTGAATCAAATACGAAATTATTTGTTAATTAATTTTTTGAATCAAATAAGAAATAATTTCACGAGACTTCCATTTTTTATAGTTGAATACCGGAGAAACTATGAACTAGAAAATTTTACAAAAAATTCACCGTATTCGGAATTTATCCATTTACCACAGATTCATTTTTTAAGAACATCGTAAGAACCGTTTTCTCATAAGATAGAAAAATCGAGTTCTGCAGGACCCACAACCCCCGTTTGGCTTATGCCCTGCGTTTCATTATTTGTTATCTCCTAAACTGTGCAGTACAGCTAGTTAGAATTTTTTTCAATAGCTGGAGAATATGATAAACGTTATCTGTGAAGAACATGAGGAGAATCATAAGAAAAACCTGTTCTCCAGGGATATACCTTAAAAAAGACCACGTTTAAACCTCAGATGAATGAC